TATGAACGCCGTTTTCGTAGGAAAACATGCAAGTTGTAGGGATTAATGAGTGGGACTACACAAGCTACTGTTGCCGGCAGACTTATTGACCATGGAATAGAAAACCCTAAAAGTGTTTGTAGAATTATAGGACAAAAAACTGACCACTGAATTAACAACGCGAAAATGTATTGCACGCATACGGTCTGCTCCATCTTTACAATTCAATTTGCACCCCTAGCACAATGACATTTTCTAACTATCAGCGCGTTTGTGAATGTCATTGAAAATATTGTCATGGTTCCTACGAAAAGCCGAATTATAGAAAATCCGGCTAATCGGGATATGGATACAAATTTTATCAAAGTATGAAATAGCAAAAGGGTTTGCTCGTCAATGCCTCAGAAACCTCTGCTTCAACACTTTAATAAACGTTATTCTTGGAAAAAAATTATATCGTTTCACATATATGCTTTCATTTGACCGTATACTAAAGAAAAGCATTTGCGAATACTAAGGAGACCATTAGAAGGCATTCTCGAATTTACTTTATACATATTTGGAGCTACAATAATTCACTGAAATCAATACGAATTTCCACTCATGTCCATTAATCGTGATAACCAGAGGTCTGCAAATCACGCTCAGAGCAGAAAGAGCAAAGGTCAATATTTTGTATCTGAAGTGTGCTACAGCCTAGAGTGATGGCGTATTATTATGCGAAAGTGTATCTTGGCATTGTATGTGCATAGAATCGATGTGTTTCTTTGCGTATCGTAATAAGGCCATTCTAATTAACTTATATACTTGAAACCAGCAGATTCGTAGACCTTAACGTACCGATCATGACCAGTCACTTGAAGTATATGGTAGCCAAGATAGTATCGTTTGTATGGCTCAATACATCCTTATAGCGCCAAATGGGCCATTTAATTCAGACGACTGATTATTAAGTCCGTCACTTTTGTGTGGACCTGTGTGCATCTGTCTGCTCTTCATTTAATTTTTTTTGAAAGACAGGTACGCTATCCTATTTTTCAATTCCAGTATTCCTCTGCATTGATAGAATCGTGATTAGTATGGGGGCTACTGTTTACATAAAAGGACGTCTGAATCATTAAGTCGTGCCTCCCCGTGGAAAATATATTTTTAAGGCAACACAACCTGGACCATTTTTATTCTGCGTTCCCTCTAGGTTTTTATAGATCACTTTTTTCTAGTTTTTTTCATCAAACATACGAGGATACAGAAAAAATATATTTTGTTTTCAGGCACTATGTATCGGGCTGATCTTTATAGCGTTTATCCAAGTCCTTGTGCGCAGGATAACTTGGCATTGCAAGCTACTTCAAACTGTGTTTACGAATTTACACGCACTTGCGAATGCAAGTTAATACGGCGAATGCAACGGCAACTGGCAGCCAAAGCCATGGAGCATCTACATAACTGGTTATTGAAACGAGAAAACAGAACTCTTTGTTCATCGACTACTGATCATCTGCTAGCTACGAGCCATTATTTGGACCCCAAAACGTCTTTCCTAGTACCTGTTCTAGGTAGAAGAACTCCTACCTTACGCTACCTAGAGGCAGCCAATATACGGCCGTATAAACTCGACCTACAGTCCTGCGAGTCCTACAAACAACTTTCACGACGAAATTTAACTTGGTAGTTTAGCATATATCCGGACAGGTTATTTTTATCAACTGAGTGGATTTCATAATAAGAAGGGCTTTGGTTTGGAAAACTGCCCTCTTAATTAAAGTTATTGGGGGAAATAGGCACCCATTTTGGCTAAATCATGAGTAAGTTTATATTAAAGAAATTCCCTTTGTTATTAGGGAAGACAGTACCAAACTTTTTTCTAACATACATTGTGTTGTGGAAGAATTCCATAATTAATAAAAAAGGTAGAATAATAATCCCTTCCAGAACTAGAAAATTGTGTGCGAAGTTGATCAAATGGAAGTGAAGCGAAATTTAAGGAATTGCATTTATTTTCAGAAACCAAACAGCGATAGAAGTTTTGAAAATTATCGATGGCTATTATGTGAAGTTTTTTTGCAAAAAATGCATTAACAAAAAATTTTTCGGTGGAACATTTTCTTTAATCACACAGCTGGCCTTGCGCCTAAGCAAAGTGTCCATATGTTACCGCGAAGACAACCTATAGAAGGCCTTATTGAATGTAAGTCATGTAGAAATAAGTTTTTTGTAAACAATAGGTTCCGCTCAAGCATTATTTGGAAACGGAACAGACAGAAGTGTAATAATTATTTCAAAAAATGATCATATATCTGGCCTGTTTTTTTGCATTCGCACGCTTATTACGGATAGTGGAATTAATCCCCTTAAGCGAAAAATAATCCGTTATAAAGAAAAAGTATGTTCTTTCTTCTCCAATCAAGTTTAATCGTTTTTCTTCAGGCAAATTAAATAAATTGTCAAAAGTCTCCAATTTCTCTGTGACATTACCTAGGAAAAAGTTAATATACACAGCAGTTCGTCAGCTAAATATTCAATAAAAGCACTTTTTAATGAAGCAACGTATTATGGAAGTTTTTTTATTAATTCCAAGGAATAACAATATGTGTGGTATATGGCAGGCATTTTGTATGCTCTACAATGTGGTTTGCTTTTTTGAAGCATTTCTACATTTGACCTACGTGGCCATCTGCATAAGAACTAATATCCAAAAGCTCGTTTTTTTCGGTAAATG